GCTCTTCCGTCGCCAGACCCGCGTCCCTCTTCCATTCCCCCTCCCCCACCCACTGTTCGGTTGGTCTCCTCTCCGCGTGTTACGTCCACTCTTTTCGCCATTCCGTGGACTCACGTGGATCAACGGGCCGCGCGCACAGCTTTTAATAATAATATTGTTTCAAGGACCGCGAGGAGCGCGATGCGTTCGTTCCTTCCCTTTTAATCACGTTCAACGGATGGAATACCGGTGGAGGGTGGCGGGGGTCCTTTTTTTTGGGCCACTCGTCTCTGAATACGTTCTCATCCGTGCTTTATCGTGGAAAAATACGGACGGTGGAACGATTACCGGCAACGTTCGTCACTGGCCCGGAAAAATTATCGGAATTATTTTAGGGTTTGATATTAAGCGCGGAATATATTGGTATCATGAAATTGTAAATATCGTTCGTTACGTGATTTAGCTGCAAATTTGTTGGGTGGAGAAAATAATTTCTGAGAAACTGATTTTCGTATTTTTGTACGTCACAGACGACGAATGTGAAAATATTGATTTTTTTCGGGGGGAGGACGTTACTGATGATCGAATAGATCATTTACACCCTTACTCATCTATCATTAGATGTTAGATGTTTCGGACTGAATTTCTTCAAGATATGCTGGTCTTCTTATAATATACTAATATAGACAACTGTATACTTTAGTTCCTTTCTGTAATCTGTAAACTGCGAATTTTCTGCACATATAGCTTATATGATTATTTAAAACTTGGTATACCAAAATATTTAATGAAGTTTGATGGGGACCCAATTTTATTTGGGACTTAGTGGAATCCCTAATAGAATTTCTGTCTGATACTAGTGTTTGTAAAATGGATAAAAAATACCTATACTTGCGTAAACATCCACAGTATAATAATCTGAAATAGTGTGTAAAATTTCCGAAATCCTAGGTTAAAATCGACGCAGACACCGTCCGAGAGTTACAAGTATCAGTGATACGATACAATGACAGGTCTCTAAGCTTCATTAAGTTCGCGAATGATGTTATTAGAGGTGTATTAAAATACTTCCCCTTACCGTAAACAGGTATAATTAACACCTAAGATTAACAAGGTGATGAAATCCTGTCCAGGTGAAGTTGTTTAAGGGCATCCGTGATCCACGCGCATTAAATCAGTGGTACGACGCAGTTGAGCAGAAACTTTCGTATTGGCGGCGAGGTAAAGTGGCGCTTGTACCGACATTTTGTACAAACAGGAATAATCGCTGACCAATTAGACGGGAGGGGGTTCCATAGTCGGGCGAACCTTCGAGCAGCTAGGTGCGCCGCGGATAATCGCGGCCATAAATAACATTTATCGGAGGCCCTGCGGTCTAATTGCCAATGATTACCATGGGCAGCACGAGAAAAATTGCCAATTTACATCGAATGCTCGCTCTTTCTACCGCGGCGGTTACCCGCCTTAGTTTACTTACCAACCAGACGTTCGATCGTAGATAAGCGGTGGTTCCTCTTACAAAATCGGCCCCCGCATTCTGTTACTGCGAACCCGTACGTTCATTGGATGAATCCTGTTACACTGAGTTACGTTGAAAACTGTGTTCTCCCGTCGATCTTTTAATACCGAGTAATTTTCGAGCGTTTTTCCGTATACTTTGAGAAGCAAATTTACATTATAAAAAAGGCCTGTAATGTGATACTCATTCTTTTTTCGTATACATCTGAATTTTATTGGGTCGTTCGGATAGTCTGTTGCGTTCTGCGCACAGTGGCTTCGTTACCTTCCTGTCGGTCGAAGGAATAATTGTTTGATCCAGGTGAACAGGTACTTTTTTTCAGGTATGGATTGAATGTATTTTCTGTACAAGTGACACTGAAGTTAATTGAAAAATGGAAAGAAATTATAATATGATTGTACATCTGCCCTTAAGAAAGCTACCTTTCCGAATAATTTAATATTTAGAAAAAAAAATCCAGGATAATCTATCTTCCTACAGCACTCGATTTCCCGTGTTACGATTCAAACTTACCCTCAAAGTGTCCATACACGATTACGGAATGCCCCGCGCAGACGAAACAAGAGGGAGACATTTCGATTTACTTTATGGAACCGTCAGACGTTTCCGGCCCTCGGCGAAATTTCGATTCGAGCTTCCAGAAATCACTCCCTTTTCGATCTCCGGTCCGGGTTAGGTGAATCTGGATTTCGTTTTCTTACCGTCTTCTTCTCTTTTTTTTTTTTCTTCCTGTTCTCGCGGCGAATACAAGGCGATGATACACGCACGCGTGTTCACGCCCGAATAGAGTTGGATTCCGCTCTCCTGAATACGCAATGCGATTTATTCGTAACGCGGCGTATAAAACACAAAGGACCGCGCGCGTATGATTGGTAAATTATTGAGGCACGCCGAATTTGTCGGCCAATCACGTAGCGGTGTTAAATAATTCAGAGGAAACGCGCGAAGGATGCCAGGAACGTAGGGAAAATCTCGAGACAGTTCACGGGGATGCGAAAGATGCTTCACACCTTCGCTTCGTAAACTCGTGGGCCACGTCGACGAAATCAATAATATCCCTTTTTATCCATAGACAACGAAACGGACACCGTGGTAACATCGAAACAAGTAATTTTATTTCAATTAATATTTCTATGATAGAACTATGATACAAAACATACCTACACTAACGAACTTACACACACTTCCTTACGTATTCCCGTTCAGAGTTTCTTCCTCTTCTTTCTTTCTCTTTACATGCATCGTACACTCGTGTTCGGCGTATACGAGACGAGACGGGATTCGGTTTGTTTTTTTTCGCCTTTTAGATAAGCGGCTTGATTATAATGCGACCCGTTCGTCCCGATTGGACACACGACGAATAACGCAACGACAGTCTTAGTGATCGAGCCATTAACATCGGCCGCTACTAATCGTAATCCGTACGAGTTATTTGGTTACACAATCGGTTAGTAGTCGTACGACAAGATTATAATGTGTGTGTGTGTGTGTGTGCGTGTGTCTGTTTCCGTTTTTCACAGTGAAACGTCACGGTGTTCTCCGTTCAGAGGAGACGCTTAGCGTTTAGGAACTACGCGCGTACACTCGTAACATTACGGAGTATCGTGGAAGTATTCGTTTATACCCTAATACGGCGTGGGCATTCGCGAATCGTTCGTACGACAAAAAAAAATATACGAATGAAGTATAGTACGAACATTTCGAATAGGAAAACTTGGCAATAGACTTGGTGAACGACGATAGGCTTACCTGGACACATCGATAGCGTTACACGAAAGCCAATATCAACGAGAGAGTCGAACCTGCAAACGACACACACATCCTTGTCGCGCGAGAACGGTAGGTACTACTCGCCCAGGAAAGTGTTCGTTTGCCACAAAAATTATCGCGACGCACGAAGGACGTAAGCCTATTATCGTTCGAGAGACTGCGAAACTCTTTTTTTTTTTTTTTTTTCTTTTACGGAGGCGTGCCGCCGACAAATCTCCGCGAGCGTATGGCATAAAGGAAATAAAACATTTTCTATACGGGTCGCGCGACGGCTCTACGGGTTACTGATACCCCGGCTGGGCCAATCCGAGAGAAAGAGAGAACTTTCGGCATAACTCAGCCTCGTTATCTGACTCGCAAATAAGGCAAACGGAAAAGTTCGCGACATCAATCTGGCCCTCTACCGGGAGATTCGAAGTTGAAACAATGCTTAAGTCACCCCTAACGTATGAGCCCCAAGGGGGTGGCGAGGCTGGCTTGGCTTCGTTGTTGGCTGCTGGCTGGATGGCGTAGCCCCGGCTACCGATTCGATCTGCCAAGCCGACCTCGCTCACCAATTTCACCCTGTGGCCATTCCTCGAGTTCTCTACCTCCGGTGGCCACGTTGGTCCGGTAGTCCGGTAAAGCTAGATTTACCGGCGTATCCCGCAACGGACAGCAAAGTCGACTACAAGAACGGCCAAACTTTGATCACCCCTGAGCATTCAGTTTACCCGCATTGTTTCCCCGTGAGTGCTAACCTTCCTGAAGCCTTTGTCTCTCTCTTTCTCCCAATCTCTGCATTTGATTCTCTTCGATCTGTTCGTTTCATCCGTTCCCCAACCCCCGTTGATTTTTCGAGTCTACTTTAACCCGCGAAATTCGAACAATTAAACTTCGTCTAAACAGCACCAATAGTTTCACGCGCTCGATTCGTACGTACAGTCTTAAGAGGGTCGCTTAACCGCCTGGTACCGCTCGTTGCGGTAAATACGTGTCGAGAGGATATTCCGCCACGGGCTGAGAAATTCGATGAAAGCGCGCGAGTTGAATCCGTTTCAGTCCGTTTGCCCGTTGCGAAGAATTCGATTTGTTGGTTTAGCGACGTTTTCGAAATGCGACAAGTGTCGTCTTATATCTAAGGAAATTTTGCTGAGAGTTATCACGAGTTTTCTAGTTTTATCGCAGAGTTTCGCCGTTGGAATGGTCTCTTATCGTTATTATTCTTGAGTGATAGCCTCGATCGTGAAAGCGGGCCACTCGAGTATTCCAGTGGCACAAGCGGAATCTCTTCGAGAGTGTCTTCGGTACGGCAGTCAGGACGTTGACAGAAGAGACGTTCGTGTCCGTTAAAGAAATTTGGCAACGCTTTCGCGATCCGATCGATCCGCCAGGGTGGGGGGGCCTTACTTCGTTTGTCATTTGGTGTCGTAAGGTGTTTGTGCATTGATACCGTTTAAATTATTCATGGGGTTCTGGATGTTATGGGCGCTGGAGCTCGTCGGCGCGGGATACCCATTGTGGTTATGGGTTGTCTCTCCGTTTGCGTGTCTCTGCGGGCTTCCCGTGGATAGAGTCTGAAAGACAAAAGTACCATAAAGTTAAAACGGGGTTTGACAATTAAAACAATTCGTACGTGTAAATGAAACTATAGAAAGCGTAACGCTTAGTTTGTGGCAGAGAAAATGCATTATTCACGGACATTTAATATATTACAACCTAATATTATAAAATAAAATAACCTAATATGCGAATTCTTTTTGCGCGAACAATTCAAGGCTTCTCTTAATCGTCTATAAATCTACCGGTTCCGAAAATATAGGGAGGTACCCGCGGTCCCATAATTACATTCGCAATCAATCGACCAGGCAGCGGCTTAATCTGATTCGAACAATTATTCAAGACAGAGACTTAAAACTCGGAAGAGGGGAAACGTTCTCGCAGACGAAAGGGGTTGGACGCCACTAACGAATTCGTTTTAGACGCGGTGTTCTTGTTCGTGTACCCCCTCCCATCCCATCGTCTACGGTTCTACTCGAAAAACAAAAGCCCAGAAGAACGAACTTGTATCTCAACTCCGGTCCGTGCAACTCAACTTGGGCGTTTCCTCCTGTCTCTCCTATCTTTTCCCTCTCGATATCCCACCATGTTCGTGTCCCTTTCTTTCTCCTACGCTCGTTTGTCTCGGTCTTTAGTCTCGACTCTATCCGCGAAGCATATTCACGGGAAACAAGAGAGAGAAAGATGGTACCCTCGCAGGGAGGAATGGTAGAGGGTACCGCGGGGAACATGAGATGCCGCTAGGATAGGTAAGTGCCGTTGAAAACTTTAAACTTCGTATCTCTAGCTCCGCGCTGTTCCCTTCGCCATCAGTTTCTCTTAGTTTCGCCGGCGAAGGTGTTAAATTATACAGGCTTAAAATTCGACAGACCGTGCGGCTCAGCCCCTCTCGACCAGAGAATCCTCCCTTACCATGATTTTACCCCGTGAGTGGATCACGCTAACTTTCGCACGACGAACGGTACCGCCCGTTTTCATGATTTTCCCCGTCGTCGCAGCCGTGGCATTACCGAACTGCCTTGGACCCGCGCAGATCGACCGAGTTATTTTCTACTATATCATCAGGAGAAAGAAGGCGAAGATAAATGCCTGGAATAATTCTTGAGGGAACATTGATAAATACAGCCCAGCCACCATTTGAAAGTCCAGAAGTAACACCAGGCGACCGAGAAGGATTCACGGAGTGGCGGGACCTAGTAATTAACTCGTAAATAATTACGATAAAAATGACAAAGCGCCGCTAAAAGAAATGCTTTATCACCCCTCCCGGCTAAGGGGCCGAGTTCTCTCTACCGAGGCAAGAATTTTCTAAATCTTCTTGCCGCAACGAGAACCCTTTTCAGTCCTCCCGGCGAACCTCTACCGGACTCTTTTTCTCCTCCTCACCCTGGCACAACCACCCTTCGGTTTTATCTTTTTCGCTCCGCACCTTTCGCTCTCTTTCGCTGTTCCTTCCGTACACCCTCGGCCGGGTACCCTGCACGTAATTAAGAAATCTCCGTGGAAGGCTACGGACCACCGTTGGTCGGTACCACGGGTTAAATTAAGTCTATGACTTATTCAAGTTTTATCTACAATTGCCAGAGGAGGAATTACCGTGCCCGTGGATTTACTGCCGTCTTTGTAATCAAACGGCACGCGCTCCGCTACAGGATGTCTTCCATGGTCGTCAGGGATACTGTTTTTGGGGGGCTGGCCCATACCAACTATAAGTCACTTTAAATAATCGACGATAACATGGAACGGGTGGTACAGAACGATCCTTGCTTTCTGCACACCGATAAAGACGACTCTGTATTCGAAGGGGCACGTAGAAATTAGCCAGCGTTGTCGGTGGATCAGAATCCCCCTGGAGTTATGATGGCCTGGCGTTTCTCGGGGCTATGGTACACCAAGAAGAGAAGAGCAGAGAGATCCAGATATCTTGGGGGTTCAATGGGACTTCAAATTCTGAGTGTTCAGATGTATTAGGGGCGAAGTTCTAGGTATTAACGGGTTTTGGCAGGATTCAGTCTTCAGTCTTCTCCTCAAGAGGTATCAGAACCCTTAAAAACCCAAGACAGCTCGAGAAACACAAAATAAGAACCCTTTTCACTATACAAACCAACATCAGAAAAACGCACACCTCTCCCAAAGATCCACAACATCAATAGGGATACAGGCTACCACTTGCACCCAATATGGAGATCCCTCCTGCCAGTTTTTTAATTGTTCAGCTGACCGATTAAAAAAGTCTTAGATTGCAATGAATCGTCACAAAAGCAGGGTCCGCTTCGCACGCACCAGTATCAGTCTGTCATTCGATCCCCCAAGAAATTAGATGCAATGCTTGCGAAATACGCGGCAATTAATTCCATAAGGACACGGTTTACAGCCGGAAGCCTCAACAGTGTTAATTGTATGATGCTAGGTCATGAAAGCCTTAAATCTCTCATCAAAAGAGTTGGTCAGATAACCCTGATATATGCAGTTCCATAGATTTCGTGGATTTCTCTTCAAAATGTTCAAATATCTCAAGTTTTCTTATACTCTTTACTATCATCGCAATTATTTAATTCTCAGTAGAAAAACGACAGTATTTTTTTATTTGATCCGATCCAGACCTTTCCCATACGACCACACTAGCACATCGTAAGCGAGCTTCCACGCGAGTCTTCCGCCCGTGAATAAGACATTAATCGCGACTCGGCGTGAAGGTGAAGGCAGTTTGTAACTGACGGTAAATGCGGACCATCGGCGGAGGGGTTTGCCGGGAGCTTGGGAGAATCGCGTGTCATTTGTCCGTTGATCTCCCGCGGCTGGGAACCGGCCAGGTGCTAGCTAGTTCCTCCACAGTGGCGCTTTTCTTACGCGCAAAAATTAGCGCCACCCTCTACAACCATTCACCCGGCCCCCCTTCTGCACCTCGATCCTCGGCCTGGCTATCCGCGGCCGGAAGGCACGAGATGAGAGAATTAGGCGGGTCGTTTATCGAAGGAGGATCATTTGGAACAGAATGCCACGAACCTCGCCATTATACCCGGGGATTATTATATCGCGAAGGATTCCGTTAACGTGCTTCATCATTCGAGATCTCCGTGTGTCTCGTTGCGAAAGAAATAGTGGACGAAATAGACCCTCGGGTAGAGATAATGATTGTTAATTAAGGGAGAAAAAAAAGTACTCGTCAGGGAGTAATATTTCGAGGATTTCAAAGACATTTGTATTAACGTTCAGCCGTACATTTTTTTGTTGTTGTCCCGTGCTTTACGAACGCGAGATTACACGCTATTCTGCCAGTCAATTAAACTCGACGTTAGCGGTTTGCCTGTCGCGCACAAGTGCACAGGAGTTGGTCCGCGCAATAATCGTTGTAAAAGAAAGCCTGGACGACCGTAGCCGTGCCGTTGTTTCACAACTAAACTCATAATCTCGCATAAGCTCGCAAACCGGGCTTTTCCATGTGAGTTTTCCTATGCGCGTGCTGCGCGTAAGGGGCCACCCCGGAGGCTTTACCTGAAATTCACGGGAGCCACGGTGCATCTAATAATACGTTCATTAACAAAAACGACGTACGTGCCGATGCGACGGCGGATATTTCTTTGCCTCGTGTCTATGCTTCCTTTAACATCTTTCTCGTATTCTATACTTTTTCGTAATTTCGTGTTATCTACTGGAATTCTAGCTCGTGTTTTCAAGCGAGAACATCGTGCTTCGGTACACCTGCCGTTCGATAAGGATGACGAATATTCCGAAGTTTAATTTAATTCAGGCCGCCTGCGCGCACGTCTCGCGAACTTTAGAGGGTCTAATCGTCTGGAAGAAGTATAGAAGACGTTGTAATACCTTATTCGCCCGTACGAATCTCGTACTGCACATTGATCCTCTTAAATTCCCATGTAGTCTCCGTCTTGGCATTAGCATATTATCTCTTCCCCTTCCCCCCTCCCTTTCCCCAGCGAACCTCCTTCGCCTGGTACTCTCCCGTTCCTCTTTCCCCTAGTTCTACCCCCTTCAACCCTCTGATTCGCGGAGGACTTTGCAGACACTTGAGAGTTTGTTTTAAAACTCAGATAATCGTTTCGAACTCCCTCTCCCGTTCCACGATCTTTCTCTCTCTCCCTGTCCCCGATTTCATCCCGTCCTTGTTCCAACCCCGTACGACGTCCCAATCCCCTTTCCCGCGTCGCGTTCCGCTTTCTCCGTCGGGGTCTCGAGGGGAAAATTAGATCAAAATAAGACTTCTCGCCAATTTTTAAACGCGTTACACTCGTCTCCGTGGGACGGGACAGGGGACGGATTACGGGTCGTTCATAGGAAGTTTCACGACGATAAAAACGATCCTAACGATCCTGGCGATCGATCGCGACAACCGTGGACGTCTTTCCTAAACGCATCTAAAGACCCCGACTGACGGTTTTGATGGATGAGCCGGGTTGCCTGTTTTCAACGAGTCGGTCGCTTGTAAGAGCCCAGCCGTCGTGGAATATCAGAAGTGGCTGTCTGAAGAATACGACCGATGGTAATTGAATTTATCGAGGGTGATGACCGTCGTTTTTTTTTCTTCCTCCATTCCGCTGCTCCTTTCTCACCCCCCAACGCTGGCTACCTGTTTACCTTGGCTCACTTCGCACGCTCGAGTTATCCGGTAAACGCCGCACGCCCGGGCATTATTTACAAGAGTCGGATCGGGGATCCTCCCCGGGCACGGCCAGCACCGGCTGAGAAAGATTGGGACAGCTGTCTGTTCTCAGGCAATCAGAAAAACTACCATTTCTCCTCGTTTCACCCAAGGCGACTCCGCTATTCCCATAGCCACGGCTTAAGGAGACGCGTAACAGCGTGGAGGGGGTCTGGCAGCTGGCTCCGGCTGGGACCGAGCACCCTCTTCGCGGTTTTTAAGAATCTTAACGCCCTTCCTTCTTCTCTTAACCCATCCCCTCTTGATTTTGTCAAGCCGAGATAGCACCACCGACACTTTGCATTTCGTCGCGACGTCTAATTCCAGCAGCGTGGCTGGTATTTCCAAGGGGTCGGAGGAGGGGGTGTATCCTTTCTTCCCTAACTCCTGTTGATCGTCGTCGTCTTCGTTCTCGTTTTAATCCGTTCCCACGATCTTCTTAAATATGAAATACGTTCACCCGTTCGCGATATGTAATTATATTTTTATTATTAAGGTATTATTGTTTTCCTTTACCTGGAAAATTATTCCGGGGAAATAATGGTTCATCAGCATTGAATAGATGATGAATCCCCTCAACATAGGACAGTTTCGCGTTCGTTACGTGACAATTAACGAGAGGCGATTCGTGATCTGACATTATCTATCCCGTCAACCAGCGGCAACCGGAGACCAGGCTGTCCCCGACGATCGTCTTTTCCATTCAGATGCTAAATGTCACGGCGACATTTACCGAGGAAATAGAACGGCTCTGTTGGATGTTGGGTTGGCAGACACCTTTGAGTGTTCCCGCCGCCGCCGACGTCGCTGCGATCGAAGGTATTCACGCTCCGGCAACGACATGTCAAGAGGGATCCATCAGGCTTAACGTAATAGATGCGCAAACGACATTAGCATGCCACGCCGATTATTGGCATTAGTCTGCCATCCCGTTATTTCGCAGAACGGTCATTTATAACCCTCCGCTGGTAAACCCTACGGCGTAATCGATACTCCCTGAACGGTTCACGGATCCGCGGAACATCAAAGTTGCAGTCAGACTTGAGAAATCGTGTTCCGTATAAGCTACGCTTTGATGATTATACGATTCGTTTTTCCTTGATCAAAAGGGTGTGATACTGCGGTGATATGCATCCTCATTCTCAATTATCTTCCGTTATTTTGACGATATTCTGAATTGAAATTATATTACGATTTAATTAAAACAAAATAGTGGATTGAATATTGGCACTTTCAATATTTAAAAGTGAAATGAATTGAACGATAATTTTGTTGCACGATTATTCGAACTCATGCATGAAATATAATGGTAAATAAATCACATTCTCAAGTAAATTGTTCGTAAAACGGTTCTAAAAATCCCATAATATGATTGGAATTTCAAAAAGCCGTTATTAAGTGTTTAATTAACCCTAATTGTACCTCATTGTACCGTGTTAAGTATCTATTACTTTTACCGAATCAACCATAAAAGTACACAACTTTTCCAGAGCTTAGCATCGTTTTTTCCGGAACAATTTCTTCAGTCTTCTTTTTTCCAACTACCTAGTTTGCACTCGCCACTTCGACTGGGCGTACGTGCAAACTGATATTAATTGAACTAAACACTCACGCACGTCGCGACAGCGTGCACGGGGAAGCGGCGTCGCACGCAGAAGGCTTCCGCGCAAGAACATGAACAGTTACGTGGTGTAGAAATAGAGTCGCAAGGGTTAGCAACCCCTGAATTACACGTAGCTCGCCGGCAGTACGGTTAAGGGGGTAGAAAATTTGCATATTATAAGTAGTACACGCCGCCGAGTCCGATATCATCAGACTCGGGGACCTCGTTATTCTGTGCATGCGTACAATTCGAGCGTGTGCCCAGGCAATCTAGGGTCTTCGACCAGTCTTAAAAGTTTGTCCTGAAACTTCCTTAACGACAGTTTTACGCGACCGTGCGAGACTTTCGACTAATGAACAGGGATCAAGGTTGCCCCCAACTATGTTCCCCGAACGAAACGTTGGCTACCAAAGATTACGAAAATTGAGCGGTGAACACAATGATCTATCGTGGATTCGTTGAATTTTAAAGGATACAGGACAGGGTTAGTCGATAGACGATGGTCGATTGGTAAATATTACGCTTGGTAAATTACGGTACGTGACGTAAGCACGTTAGGGGACGTAAACATCCTTGCAAGACGGAGGCAGGATTAAGTAGATCGGATCCATCTCGGGTCAGACAGGACTGGGGTTCTCGGTACAGCAAAGGCTTAAGATATTGTTCGGAGGCACGGCTGTTGCTTTAAGATAATCAAGAAACCCAAACGGCTTAACGCGACGAGTTCATAATTCGAACTTGTAAAGGGCACTCTATCGAGAAACATTCTTATCAACGTTGGAAAAGTCTATTTTCCCTCCTTCTATCTGTAGTATGCCGTGTGTGGCTGCATAGGAACCCTAAAAATTAGGAATGCTTATCGCCGAATGAAATATTTACGAGAATTATGCGTGAATGAGTAGTGTTTGCACCGATACAAAAGATTTCCGTGTACCTGTTTCGATTGCCTTGGTGACAGTAACTTAGTAAATGTTTAGTTCGAATAAGAAGGATGCATAGTTTGGTGTGACTTGTGAGTAATTTAGAGAACGAAGAGCACATGGTTTCACGTAAGTTTACATGTACCTTAAATAATAGATTAAGCTCTCTAAATTCTTAAGAATCGAAATTTCTGAGATCGTCTTTCAGGTCGTGTAATCTAAAGACATTTTTCGCAGGGAATAGGGTTAATCGCTTGATCGGGTACACGAATTTTCGCTAAGTAATTCCACTTAAGACGCCGGGGCGAATCCTTATACAAAGAGTAAATTCTTTCGTACGTTCCAGTGCCGCTCTAGAAGACGGATCGTTATGGTATGCGATGAGGCTTGCTTAACGGGCGAGCTTAATTAATAAGGACACGCGATATCCTAACTCGTAAGACGATGGTGGGGTGTAGTAAAGCATAGCTGAAGCCTCGGGGGAGTCCTTTGTTGTCGAGAGGGTCAGGATGAGCGACCTGCCACTTTAACCCACCTTAAGGGGTTACGTCTTGAGGAGTTTTGAACCTCTGCCGAACATCCGATGATCGTAATCTCCGGAAGATTCAAAGCAAGCCTGGTCGATGTGTACCAGAACATGATACACCTGCGTGGTCAGTTTACGGATTTAGAATGCAAAAGCATGAAGGATAGTTTTATTTATCCGAATATCAATGTCTATGATATCAATAAGAATTTGATGAACTGTATAGCTCTTAGGAATAATCACTGATTATTTCCTGGTTTCTACAGTTTTTGTGCGAATTCCAAAGAACAAAAACGAAGCGTACACAATTGTTCTCCTGATGAAATAACATTTGCTTATGATTATTTTACAACAGATTGCAAATAAACGAGGATAATAAAAAAAAAAAAGGAATTACCGGTGGTTGAAGATGCGTCACTTGTCGCTTGATCTGTGCCAGGGTTGCCGTTGGCGGCGGATGTACCGCCATGTTCGCGAAAACCTGTCTTTCCTCGTAGTCGTACTCGCACAGAATTTTGTTCTCGTACAGGTAGTATCTATCGCCGATGCAGAATCTATAAAGAGAATGAAAAAGTTCGGTGAAAAAACTTGTCCACATAAAAATGTGTTAAATAATACGACAATAGATTCTCGGTACATTTCGCAGAGGTTAATATTATTAAGACGTCGTGATATCATAATGATCAGTACGGTCGACGAGACTCTCAAGTGGCAAAGATTCGAGGAAACTCCCGGGGCCAAGGGTTGTCGGCGAGATAGGCGGGGGTAGTAAAGCGTGCTAATTCCTTTTAAGGCCCCTTTCCGTTCCGCCTCGTCGAGGAAATTGCGAGAAAATAAAAACAAGCAGCAAAACGCCTAGGCGGTGTGGCCCCCGTAGCTTCCGACAGTGTCTTCGAGGTCCTTTAAATGTAAATTTCCACTCGATTCGCAGACGCTACATCGTAGCTGGATTACCGCTCGGTCTTTTCCTACTTCCATACCTTTCTCCCTTTTCCTTATAACACGATCATCGTGATTCGATAACGAGATCTCGCGCGGGTCTAAGAATCGTACGATTTCACCTGTAAACCGAACGGAACAAGCGAGAATCATTCGTAACGGTGAAGAATATTTTTCCTGGTAATTTCGGGCATCCAGGTAATGCGTGTTGAAATTCAACGTATGAAATCGCGAGGATTTTCCAGCGATCCGTTGCGGTATCCAACTATGTATATACACACACCGAGGCAGATCTCGGAATGGTGGCGAAGTACGAACGTGCTTCGCTTGCGATATAAGAGAAATAAGGTTACCGCGAGGGTTATACGCATCGACCAACTGTCGCCCCCCCCCCTCTTCTGCGGCAGTGGGTGCCTCTGAAATCAAAGATTTCGCATTTTTCGTTTTTATTGCCGGCTTAAAAGTCAATTTTTTCTCTAACCGCGCGCCGAAAGAACCGGGGGCGTGCGTTATCCGGGTGTCCGCATAAAGGACGATACGCCGAAAATGCTAAAAAGCCTCGGCGAACGGGAGGATCGTAAGGGTGGCTGGCTTCCAACGAGCACAATAGATCCACCGGGATCCATGAGGGACTCGAAAATCGTTTTGTCAGGATACGCGGATGGCGGTGTCTTGAAATTCTTGTCAGGTGCCGTGAACATCGCTCTCCGAGTGTTATACGTACTCCGTATCGACCGTGATATGACGGGAGCCTGTCCCCGCGATTTGTCTCGGGCGAATAAAACGCTTCGAGCTGGCGCCCTTATTATTTAAGCCCGTAACGGGTCACGTAACTTTATGGCGGGTGTACGCAGATATCAGAAATGGACTCCTAGATGCGAACCTTTTGGTGCTAAACAAATTTAGCTTTGATACACTGCTTGAAACAATTAGGGGATCAAGTATTGCAATTATTTTAGCGCATAGCACTTGTTTCGGTTTTCTTTCGCCTGGTATGTGCAATAGAACCATCCACATTAACGATCCATTAATTCTTTTGAGCAGTGTATATCTCTCCAGTTTAATTCACTACGTAATCAATTTGTTTGTTTCTATAAATCAAATTGCAATTTTATTTCGTATTTCATAGAGATGATTTAAAATAAAATAAAAATAAACATTGACAAAACTTACCACTCAAAAAATATGGGAAAGACTATAGGTACTTATGTACATATTTTCGGAAGAATGTGTAGATCGGTTGATTTAAATTCTCGTTGAAAGGCGCCTGAAGACGATGGCGATCCGTCGTCGACGTGAGAGCGCTCTGGGTAGGTGTAAACGCGAAGGGTGTATCTTAGTATCGTAACTCACCGGTGAATAATAAAAGCATTTTTTCGGGTGGGGGAGTGGTGAAGGAGGGACAGTACATCGAGTACATACGGGCATTGCGTATTCAACGGATGTGCTGTCCCGTGCTGGGATCCTGTTTGAGTTTTATGCCGGGATTTCTGTCGAGTGGTTTATACCGGCGCTTATGTAAATGCAGACGTGATTTTTTTCACCACCTACCGGCCGACCCAGCTGCACGAATATGCAGAGAGCATTTGTAGCATTCGAAACGAGCCTGAGCCAACAACGGCGTTGAGTACCGTTCTCTAAACATTTAGCGAGACACCGTAACGCGACGAGCTCGCGTTCACATTCGAACGTGAATTTATCTTCATTCGACGTCGAGACGTTAGAACATTCGTCGTTAAAATTCCTGAAAGTGTCGTCGCGGGGAAACGATTCTTGTTTTCCATTCAGTCGGAAACGGTGGAGCGATTTCCAATATGCATCGCGTTATTACGGACGGAGTCACCGCGGCGGTGATTTACCGTCATCAAAAATGAATTGAGATAGCATCTGTTCGTGTACGTAACTGACATCGCGGTCGGTGATCACCCTTCGATTTTCCATTCTTCTAATTCCGCGATTCCGGAAGGCCGGGAGAGACAGGACAGGGAGGAGACAGACGGAGGAAGTGTGTAGACGGGAGGGGAAGAAAATAGCGCGAGAGAACCAGAGAGCGATCGGAACATCTAGCATGGTCCGCCATAAAAAGCAATGCTCCATCGTAACGGGGTACGATAAGTGCCATGGTGCGAAGTAAAATCGATCCCGGGGGCAGCCTCGAATCGTGCGCCATAAAAAGGGAACATTAGACAAAGAGAGAGAGAGAGAGATAACGCAGAGACGCGAAAGAGAGAGAAGAAGACGAGGACAACAAGATCATAGCATAATGGTGTTGTGATTTTCCGACTAGATACCGCGATATAGATTGCGTCTGTGCACCGCCTAAACGCTTCTGACATTAGTGACGTTAAACGGCTCGCCGCAATGTCCTTTTGCAACGCAGGCATACGCACGGAAGAACCGCATTTACGTTCTATAGTTAGTAGTCAGCGTGAATTCTAGTGTTTGATATTAATATTCCTCGGTGACAAGCTACGAGACGCCAAAGAATTGGAGAACAAAACGGATACCCACCGACGGTGACAGGAAGGGTTGTTTCGTAAACCGTTAACCGTTTTCTACGTTGCGACTTTGAACGTCGCTAAGTCGAGAGGAAGCCTCCGAGATTCGTCGGCAAACAGAGTCAGGGAGTGGAGGGTGGAGAAACCCCAAACGGCAACACTTTGGCGGTAGTCAAGACCAGAGATGTGGGGGAGAAGGTGCAACGGCGGGCGTGGAGGTTGCAGGGAATAAATTTTGTACTTGATCGTTGAGTCCCCGTCGAGAGAAAGACAGAGGAATGGAGAGCGAAGGAGGAGGCTAGAGAAAGCGTCTATATTCTTGGTAGTTGGTGGTGCTCCTACTCAATTTGCATCAAACTATGGAGAGACAACCGCTCCAAACCCCCCCGTCGCTCTATCCCGACTCCAGCGCAAAGCCACCGTTCTAGCACCTGATGGAGCCGTACTCCCACTCCCTTCGACGTTCTACAGTCGAGACTAACGCGTTTAGCAGAGACTCGAACCCCTAATCAGATCTTCCTACGGCAACGGGGTTTCTAAGGTGCTGCTAAGTGTGAAGTTAATGGAGTCAAGACGTTGCTCCTCCGCGCCAAGACGTTTGCCCGGCATGCCACTAGGCAGGCTGGAAGCGGATACCATTTTTCATAAATACAGAGACAAATTCTATTCGTTTATATTACGGCAAGCTACGACGAGGATGTATTTTCATCTTATGGATTCGTTTGTTTTCACTGGACTTGTTATAAACGATCTTGGTATCATGAAATAGTAGATGCTTAACACTAGAATTGTCACTGAATAAGTTACAGTAATTTTTATCATAGTTACAAAAATTATAGATTTACGAGAAAATACATATTAATCGATTATAAAAGTTATTCATTTACATACAGCACTAGAACTCATTGAAAATCTGGGAAAATGCAATGTCGTTGCTACAATTCTTAGATGAAATTACAGATCAGTCATTTTGACTGCTGTGGTAGTCGTAGCGTTATTAGCGTGTATAGTATATTCAGGACTTTAATGCAAGGGATTATAATATAGTGTGGGAAGTTCAAGTGGTCTAGATTTTTTTGAAGTTCTGGAAAGTTGCGTCGGTTTCTTAAGGTTTGGAAAGCTCCCGAAGGATCTTAAGGTTTGAGGACTTCTAGGGGCTCTCGAGGTTCATTTTACCTTTGGAGCTGTAGGTAATCTATATAGGTATTTCTACAAGCTCAAAGTGGCTTCTGTCGGGTCCTATGAGTCCAATGTGGACTGTCTTGGTTTCTGAGAGTTCATAGTCGGATAAAATTTATCTAGTTGAGTCATAGGTAATAATCTATAGATTGCGGATTTTATGCATTTATAGAATATCCGACTCTCTGAAATCGAGTATAGTAAAAAGTATTTGGTCTTGTTTTTATTCCGAACCTATTAAAAACCCTTGGCAGGGTAAGTACATTTTTTGCTGCGTCCAGTTTCGAAAGTTTAATCAATAAAATTCTATATTTGCATAAACATCCGCAGTCTAAAAATCAATATTATATCTGAGCCGTAGGCAAATAATACGTAGAGTCTCGTTTCAAATTTTCCAGATTTTATTTGCGGAACACGTTCACAATTATTTTTCTCAAAATCGATGCTACGTTCGACAAAATTTCATTTGTCTTTCTGACTTTATTTCTATTTATAGCGTCCCCTGTCCTCGTTAGCGGTAATGCTCTCGCGTCAACCTGTACCGTCTGGTTGCGGAGTATATCTGCCGTCAGAAACGCCTCATATCGGGCCGCTTTATTTCGATAATGGCTGCTTACCTAGCGCGTTCTCCTGTTAATTAATTCAGACTGTCGGGGTATCAGGGAACTGTGACGCGCTAATTCGATCAGAAGTGAATTCGCTCGCTTCGGTAGCGAGGGCTCGTCGCCGACGCTTTGGGCCGGGGGAGCGGGAAGTGCGCTGCCTTTGCTTCCAAGACAGATTCACCCTCCTACCCCCTCCGCGGTAGACAGTTGACGTCGCTATCTAAATGTCGCTTCGGAGTCGCGTCGGAATGCCACTCGATAATACACAACCAGGCGTCTCGAATCGCGCGACTCATTGTCCGTCCGTAACGGCGCGTCGGTGACATGGAAATG